CCATCTCAGCTCGAATACCCAACTCACGAAATCCCCAGAGGAATTAAATAACCAGGCCCCATGAGAGAGAGAGAGAGAGAGAGAGAGAGAGAGTGAATGTTGAGGAACCAGAAGGAATGGATTTTGCTGGGTTTCTACGGAAAGTGCTTCTGAGAGACTTAGCTTTCACATTCACACACTTATTTGTTGTGTGTATCAGAGAGAGAGAGAGAGACTTAGCCTTCAATCAACAATGGGGTATCTTCTTCCTACGTTGTATTAGAAAAAATGTAGAGAGAGAAAGAGAGAAAGATGAGAGAGAAAGAGAGAGGGGGATCTGGGGTTTGTCTCTGTCTCTGTTTGCGTCTAACGGGTTTAGGAGAGAGAAAGGATGGAATTAGAAAAGAATGATGATTATGATGTGTCTGTCTTTGAATTTTATTTCTTTTCTGTTTTTTTTCTTCTGACTTTTTAAATAATTATTTTGCTTGCTTTGGTGGCACATCATCGCACGTGTGTTGTCATGAACTAATAAAACTATGAAATGACGACGCAAGTCATATTGCTGGTCGCAGCTTTGTAACAAACAACGGTCCTTCATGCCTTAAAATTTTCCTTCAGAATGCAGTTATAACATACTTCTTTTAAATTTATATATTAAATAAAGTCGTACACCCAACACTGCCTAATTTGTGAACTCCTACACAACACGTGAAATTAGCTATCTCCCTCAACAAAACCCTAGCCGGCTACCTCTATCGCCGCCGGCCTCTGGCTATGGCTGGGGGGCCGGTGGTGGTAGCTTCCCTCCTAGTCTTTTCTCCCTTCCTCTTCCCCCATTTTTTCTCCTTTTTCCCATCCCAGCCTTCCCCCCTTTACACAACTTCCTTTCCTCTAACACCACACGACTTCTCCTTTCTGGCCTTCACCTACCTCATCTCCCTTCCCTTGCTTCTCTCCCACCATTTTGTGTGTAGCATTCCTCGAATTTATGCCTTGGATCTAGGCCATGCCCCTTTCAATATTTTTTTTTTTTTTTTGGTTTGGCATTGGCTTTTCTTGATGTGGGGTGGATTCGGGCTGCAGGTGGGTTGGATCCACCTTCGTCAACTCTTTTACGGGGTGGTATCACCTTCCTCGTCTGGTTCTGGTGGCTACACTGAAGTGTGCACTTAGATTTGGCGGCTTGGCTTGTTCTGCCGACTCGACTTGATCTGGTGGCTAGGCTTGTGCGGCTCGGAGCCTGTTGCGACTAGCCCTTTTGGTGCTCGATGTGTGGATGCCAGTACCTCACTCCGGCAAATTTGTAGGTAGTCTTAGCATGTGTGCCTCGTCCCCCGGTGATGAGTGGACCAGCGGATCCCTTCTCGGAGTAGTGTAGTTGTTTTCACTCGCCTTATGTGCACCGTGGTGGCGCTATTGTTTTGGCTAGATTGGTCTTCACCTTTGTGCGATGCGTTATGTAGTCTCATCTGTCAACGGTGACTTGATGTGGTTTTACTCTACTGCGATGACTTTATGTGGCCTCGTTATTCAGCGATGACCATTGTGGCTGCCGGTATTGCTTTGTTGCGGCTATCGTTTGTTGTGACAGATCTGTACTAGTGACACTTGTGCGCTTGGCGATTGTGTGTTCATGCTTGTGGTAGTTTACTAGGGGTTTACTCTTATTTGTCTGTTTGCGCAAATTCACTCCAAATCAAATTATTAGTCACTAAAGCATTATACCCAATGACACTCTTGTATTTGTTTGTATTGATTAATAAAATACCACACTATTATTTATTGTCGACCAAAAAAAAAAAAAAAAGCCACGTGAAATTGAGATTACAACAACGTTCAAAATCACGACGGCTTACAACGATGGTGGTGCTAGAGGTCGAATTCGTGTTCTTCGGTTGGTTTGTCCATAATACTATGATTCGTGATGCAATACTTTGTAATGCAAACCCCACTATCTAAATTGCAATGTTTCTAACTTAAATCGTTAAATATACAAGGAAAATTTCTTGAAATAAGGAAATTATAAATCTAGTTACTTAATTTTTTTAATATTTAATCGATATGTCGTAATTATTTGATTATGATCAATATAATAGTTAGACTTTGTATATTATTAATTTATTATTTTCAACGTAAGAATGCGCTATGCCTCAAACTTTCGAATGACGTCATTGAGCTTAACAAACCAATATATTATGCCTTTATTTTATTTTGCTAATGGATGAGTATCTTATATTCGTTGGTAAACAAAGTACTTATAATGTAGATATAATTTATATGGCACTATAGATGAGTATTATCAATTTGGATTGGTTTACTTTTTTAGTTCAAGTCGCACAAATGTAAAGTAATGTAGCAATCTTATCATTTGAGATATTTCGTTCTATCTTATGGACTCTCATTCTCATCCTGTAATGTTGTTTGATGATCAAAACCGTCTACTTTATAGATTACTTTTCATCTAAATGAACTAAATTCTAAATCATTTGGTCATCTAATTGTTATCTAATAAATAGACGAACCATGTTTCTCACTTAAACACTGAAGTTTTGACAATGTCAATTGAACAATTAAACGATTTTTGCTTTGGTTGATTTTTTGCAAAGTGAAAAGGGTACATAAAAAATGGACAATTCTAGTCATCAAGCAACATTGCAAGATAATTAATAGAGCCGAGAAGGTTTAAGTTAGAAAGTTGCTAGCATTCTCCCAATATGAATGCCTAACGATAGAGATCATACATTCCAAATCTGCAGTTAACAAAAACTAAAGTATAAAATATAAATATTCATACAATTTGAAAACAAAGTATTTACATTAGCTTAATGTTCATATTGATTAGTTGCATAGTTCATGAGGCATTAAAAAAAGGAAGTCAACTAGTAGTTTCACTACGCCAATCTATCATTTTAGGGTCTGGGATCAACCAAAAAGTCTATGTCGTTCCACACTGCCTGGACAAATGTGATGATACAACTTGTTTTTTTGCTTCATTTTTTTACTTACTGTTTAAAGAAGTTGGATTTTGTAATATTTTTCAACGTCAGTAACTTGTTACTGTTAAATTCAATCACGGTAAAACAAAACTGAGTGACGCCATGGAAATTATTTAGTTAAGAGGAACTGTAATACCACCAAAATTTAACCTGAAGAATGAGAGGAAGCATACCAGATTGGTCAAACATAAACATTTTTCCAACTAATTTTCATTGACCAACAAAAAAAGCACGGATTATATTTTTTTTAAACGGAACATAATTACGGATTTTCAATAATTTGGATGTCCACAATTCCGACCATCCGTCCAGAATTCGTAAATTTGTACATGGATATAAGATAATTAAAATTAAGACAACTAATCAAATAATTGAGAAGCACTCTAATAGATTTTCATTATTTGGTTGGCCGTATGTCGTTATCACGACGAACATGTTGCACAAAACTTGGGGCGACAAAGCAATAGCTCGAAACCTAACAAGCGAACCAATTATTTGTATTTTTCAAGACTTTAATATGAAACGGAGACGATAAAGTAGCGGTGTTCAAAATTATTCGTGCAATGCTTTATGAATGTGGGTTCATGGTACTTGAATATCTTAGAATATATGGTGTTGAGTTTCTACCCATACGTTTCAAGTTTGAAACTTTCGCTTCCTCTCAATAATAATATTTTTTTTTTTAAATGGTACTTGAATTTTTAATAAAAATTTTGACGTACTTCTAATAAGTTGCTTATAAGAAAAAACGCTTTATTGAAGAAAATTGCTTCTAAATCAAGCATGTAACGTGAGTCCATGGTGATATATATAGGGTATTGCTTCTTCATTTATGGTCGTAAGATCAAATGAATTAAAAAAAATCAAATGACAGAAATTAACAAAGATTGTGTGGAAGTACCATCCAATATATATGTGTATGTATCGATTAAATTGGAGTAGTGTTTAACTTTTTTCTCCAACCAACTATGTGGATGGAATGGTTGTATCAATTCATATGGTTTAGTTTTGGGTAAATTACACAAAACAACCTCAACTATTGGGTCAAACATAGTTTCATATCCCGTCTTTAACAAATCTCAATGTCATACCTTATCTACGAATTTGTTGCAATGTCATAACTCCCATCAGTTTGTCTGTCAATTTTTCCGTTAAATGCTGATGTGACTTAAAAAAATTAATATTAAAAACTAAAAAAATAAATTTTTTTTTTTTTTTTTTGCATGGGGACCCACCCCTTATCCCCCTCACCTTTCCTCCCCGCTCTCATCTTCCCCCAACCCAAACCCAATAACCCATCGGTGGGTAGGGACTGATTCAAAAGAATGGTGGTGAAGATGATGAGGTAGCGACCATGGCCACCTCTAACGATGAGGTCAGGCTGGAGGGTTGGGATATGGTAAAGGAGGGTGCAGGCGGGGCCGGTTCACAAGACAAAGAAAAAGAGGAGAAGTGGACGGTGGAGATTAGGTGGAAGGGATCCAAGGTGAAGGTCGGGACCGACGATGCTGCTGTTGCAGCGTGAAAGGGAGAGAGATTACGGGATGAAAGGGGAGAGCGAGGGGAGGGATGGTTCTGGGCACGGCGAGGGAGAGAAGTGGGGGAAGAAGGTGGGTGAGGTTGGTTTTTTATTAGGGTGGTCCCCCATGCAAAAAAAATAAAAATAAATGATTTTATTTTTTTAAGTTTTAATATTTAATTAATTTTTTAAAACCACATCAGCATGTAACAGATGATTTGGATTTGATAGACAAACTGACAAAATGTATAACATTGCAAAAAATTCGTAGATAAGGTATGACATTGAAATTTTTTTAATACAGGATATGAAACTGTGGTTAACTAAATAGTTGAAGTAGTTTTGTGTAATTTACTATTTAGTTTTCTATTAATTTTATTCATTTAGAAATAGTTTTTGTTTGTTTGTTGGATTTATAATAAATTAATTAGCTAATGACCAGGAATTGTCATGACGTGAATTTTGTACTTGTGGAATTGTTGTCAAACGCGGCAAGCATCATTTCATATTCTTTAATCAAAATAATTCCAAATAATTTTAAAAAATGCACACATCAGAATTAGAAATCTTATAAACCCTAGGGACGTGTGCAGCCTCCTGACCCCATTGATGAGCTTCCCTCCATTTTTCAACACAATTTGAATCTATCTCTCTCTCTCTCTCTCTCTCTCCCCTCACTTTCTCTCTCTACACACTGTCACTGGTTCGTCTCATTTAATTCAGATGAGGAAGAAGAGGAAGGACGACCACTATCCCTTCTTTAAAACCCTAAACATTCTCCCCCCTTTCCGTTATTCCAAGACCCGCCACATCCGCATCGCCGACATTCTCGTTGATGATGAATTGCAATCCGAAACCGACGGCTACGATTGCTCCGGAGACTTCAATATGGTTGGACACCCACTCCACCTCCCCGAGGACGACGACGACGACGACAGATTCATGGCCTTACAGTGGTCCTCCCCGCGCCGTATCATTTCCCGATTTTTGTCGACTCTGAAGCGAGGCAAACGGAGGCGATGCGACGCCACACGGAGCCAGAAGAGACCGAAAGAGGTTGCAACGACGGAGAGGGAGACTGGAGACGAGTCAACGCACGCCACCTGTTCGACGAATGGATTGAACGGCGGTGGCGAGGAAACAGAACCAAGTAAGCAAACCAGAATTTGAATTTCTTGATATAATTGTCGAGTTTTTGAAGATTTTAGTACTAATTATTGAATTTTGTAAAATCCAGGACAGATTGTGAAAGATACGAGCTCAGTCAATTTGGGAGTTGCGTGCGGTTTGGTGTATCTGATTGTCGCCAGTAAAAATGAGCTTGCAAAGACGGCGGAGTTGCGGGCGGAGATGGAGCAGTTGCTTCAAAATGCAAAAGAGGAATTGCAGAGCAAGAATTCGCGTTTCGCTTCCAGGCCGGTGGAGTCGAATGAGATGAATTTTGCTTCTTCCACAACCGATCTCCAACAGGCTTCGAGTTCGAGCTCTGAGAGCCGGTTTTCACTTCGATCTGGCATGGGTCGGGAAGTGTGCTCGGAATATGTTAGAAATGGAGAAGGGGAAGTAGAAAGGGATAATGCGTGGAGGGAATGGATGAACTCGAGGCAGAGCTTGAAGCGGAGTTGGAACAATTGCAGCTCCGCTTAGAATTGGATTCGGAAAATCATTCATCCAATTCTAACTACCCGCAGCAGCAAAGATTAAAGGTACGGAGTGATTTATCATTGATTGAATTCAACTGTTGTTTTGATTGATTAATCTTATGAAACGAATGCTTGAATGTGAAAATGACAGGCTGTTCAAGACACAGCTCATGGAACAGGCGATGACGGTATCTCAGATTTTGGAGAAGAAATCGACACTCATGAAGCAGCACCAGCAGATTATAACGAAATGCCCTGTGACTTCAGAGTACCTGCACTCGAACTCGAGAGAAGGCTGCACGAACTGCTGGAAGCAAGTCAGGAAGAACGGATAAAGGAACTCGAAGTTGCATTAGAGTACATGAAGGACAAGCTTCACGAGAAGGAAATGGAGGTTTCGTGGTGGAGACAAAATGCGTCTGCAGCACTAACATCGCACCACCATCTAGATCCTTCATCGTCGGGTGCTTCCCAGCGCAGTTCGGAGAGTACATTTCACTTGTTTAGGTGAGAAAACCAAACTGTACAGTGGCTTTTGAATTCTGTTACCAATTGGCTTTGTTAGAAGTGTTACATATGTTTTGGTTCTGCTTTTACATGTTATGTGCATCCTTGTTCTCTCAATCAAAACTCCTGAACTTGCAAAACTCCTGACTTGTGTTCGATTATTCATCACGATAGAATGAGCAGCTCTCGGTGGTCCCTCGTTTGATTATTGCGTAGTTACGTTGAACTTTTTCCTCTTATGTCACCCGAAAAAAGTTGTGATTCAGCTAGAGACGGGCTTCGTGAATGTATGTCACTTTTATTTTATGCGTATCTTTTACAGGGTAATTATCGCATAATGCGATGGTATTTCTGCTTTGAAGCCATAAACCCAATTAATAGCATAGCATCCAGAAAGAGTAAGGATACCAGAACCACCAGTAGCCAAGGGTGAGGTTGAATAAACTGGTTTGTGATTACTATTACAGGGGAGTCTTCATACCGACAGCAGTAACACCAAAGCACGATTTGAGGCTTCCCACGGATGAAAATTTGCTCAGCCAGGTGAAACCAAGAGGCTGTTTAGAGTAGTTTTCTTCGAACACAAGCAATTGATGTGTTTTCTCGAGGCGTTTTCTTTGAACACAAGCAATTGACGTGTTTTCTTGAGGCGCTTTCTTCGAACACAGGCAATCAATTTTGTGCTTCTTGTGTGATTCTGATTTGAGATGGGTTTGCAGGGGACATTGGGCCAAAGATCTAAAATTTCAGTTCACACCTCTTCTCTAAACGCTGCTGCTGCAAGTAATGCAATTGGATGTGAAGGAGCCCGCATAATGTTGTTTGGGCTTTGGACACAATTTTTTTTTTTGTCAGAAGGTGTTAGGTACGGTGGTATCAAGCACAAAACTTCGGTCCAGGTACATACGCTTTAAACTGTTTGGGCTATAAATTCTTTAAGAACATAATATAATATTTGAATGATCTAATTGGGAATAACATTTCTTATGAGTAGTCGGTGGATTGTACAGTTGGGTAACAGACCGCTCACATCTTATAAGACGCACTGAAAGGTCATTTGAAAATAAAATTTAAAAAAAATTAGAGACCAGTTGATGTTACATATGCTGTGACATAGACATAGTCTTAGTTTCAAATCTGAGATTTCAGTTTCAAACTACAGCATCTTTAGCAGTTGGGAAGTAAATGGATTTAAAATGTGACTTAGCATACAAACAACACATGTAATATAATTTGGGTCTATAATATTAAGGTTTATGGTGGTACAATAATTGGATGATTTCGCTTAGAAGCTTCCCCCGATATATAATTTCTATGACACCGTCATATCGTTATTTTAATGTCTCATGCAATGATAAAATTATGTACATGAAATTTTCTAACTCCAACCCACTATTCAACTAATTCTTCAAGTTTTATCGTTTACTTTACAATATCTTAACTTTGTTTTATTTTGTGGTGTCCAATTTTTATTTTGAAACACTTTATTAAAATCTCTTCTCCATATTTGATTACACTGAAAAATCTCTCGTCACTGTTCCAATCATTGTGTTCTATGTTTTTATTTTATTTTTTTAGTTTTTATCACAAGTAGTCTCTAAAACACTTTATTAAAATCTCTTATGCATTTTCGATTACACTAAAAATCTCTCGTCACTGTTCCGATCATTGTGTTCTACATTTTTATTTTATTTTTTAGTTTTTATTACAAGTAATCTCTGAAGTTGACCCATACCATCATGATGATTCTTGAAAATGAAAATCAATCAATGTAGTATCTAAATACGAGTCTCTCAAATCAATGAGGTCTTTTCAAATTCCGTTAAACTATATGTTATTATGCTGATATGACACATATATGGACTTACAAGTCTATTAAATGTTGCCACATGTGTGCAACATTTAATAGACTAGTAGGTACACATATATGCCACATCAGCATATTAACAGATATTTTGACAGAATTTTAACGAAAATACTACATTGATTTGCGACACTCATATTCAAAGACTACGTTAATTGGTTTTCATTTTTAAAGATCATCATCATGATAATATGGGTCAATTTAGATTATGACTAGCATATGGGTACACATAAAGTATGTGAGAAAATTTATTATTTTTGTTTTTGAAGTAGAAGGAGAGAGGAAGAGAGTGATAGAGAATGTGGGACTACGAAGTTTTTTTATTTTATTTTATTTTTTTAAATTAGAGATATGTTAGGATTATATGTAGGTGAGGCTTTAAAAAAAACAAAATTTAGTTGTGTTAAATTACATTGATGCCTCATATTTCTTATTCATGCTCTGTTTTAATTAAAAGATTAAACTGGTAATTTTGGTTGACAATGAATGTTTTATTAATTGGTAGAGATAATAATTTTTTTTTATTTTGTTATGATTGAATATCCGACTTCTTGTTGACTCTACAGTCTACATATCCAACGGTTGAGAGAGAGGGACCGTGCCTTGACGTCGACGGTTAAAATTCGGTGAACCCGCGTGTGACCCTTGCAGCTGGCCCCCACTAACCGAGAAAGGCGCCGTGCAATCACGTCGCGACACGTTATGGCTAGATTCCCACGCTGAACAATCACGTCACCGCGTGTACGCAAGTGGTCCCCCACCCCCTCCCGCTCTGTTTTTCCGTCAGCTTAAAAAACCCTCCATCACCACCTCTTCCCTCTCATTCCCACTAAGCAAAGATTCCAAATTTTCCTTTCCGCTCTTTCTAACTTTCTGTTTGTTTCCCGAGAAAATCACCCGAGAAAAAAAAGTGCGCTGTCCACAGTTTCCCTACATTTTATACACATTGAAATGGCCGCTGAATCGAACTCCAAGAGTGATATTTTGACGCTTGAGAAAGTGAGAGAGGCGTTGATTAAACAAGAAGACACCATAATTTCCCGGCTGATTCAGAGAGCAAACTTCCCTTTGAATTCTCCGGCGTACGACGAGGGAAAGTTTCCATCTTTTCCTGGTTCTCTCCTTCAATTCGTTGTCAAGGAGACAGAAGCCCTCCAATCCAAGGTAATTATACTCATTTTGCATTTCGATAATCTCCGTCTCGAGATTAATTTCCGATAAACTGGGATATCACGGTGACGGTATTTTTAATTCAATTTCAATCGTGCATTGTCGTGCGATTAAAATAATGATGGTATGTAATTGGCTTGAATATCACTTTGTGACGTGACATCCCGCAAGTTTCTCTCTCGGATTCTTCGTAATCACGTGGATTGTTTTGTTTTCTCCGTTTCTTGTTCTGTACATTTTGGGAAAATCCGAGGTGACAATGATTATTTATGTCTGTCACTAACGTTATCTCTTGATTAACAGGTTGGTCGGTATGAAAGTCCAGAAGAACATCCGTTTTTCCCGGAAAGTTTACCCCCTTCGTTGCTGCCCCTTCCGGCAAATCCACCGGTGATTGGATTTACCCATAAAGTTTTAATTCTTTCGTTTGAATGTTATAATTTTTGGGAAAATAATTTGGTTAAATTTTGTATAGGTATTGCATCCTGCTGCAGGTTCGATTAACATAAACGAAAAGATTTGGGAGTTCTATTTCGACGAATTGCTTCCTCTGTTTGCTGCCCCGGGCGACGATGGAAGCTATGCATCAACTGCTTCTAGTGATCTTGATTGCTTACAGGTAAAGCTGATTTTTTATTATTTTCTGTGTAGGAATAATATAATGCTATTGCGGTTGGTGAAGTGTTTGTGCCACTAATATTTAGTTTGTAAAGTGATTCTCATGTACAGAAGCACTTACGTTTATGTTTATAAGCTCGAATTGGATCCCATCCGGAACCATTTTATGGGTATTAGGATCCTCATATCTTAATCATTTATCATGTATCGTCAGGTCAGAAATCATCTGATTTTTTATTATTTAAAATTAAATATGGTATCTGATGAAAATTAATTGCACGTTGTACGATAAATAACTAGGATATATGAATCTCTAAGATCCTTAAAAGTGAATCCGAAGAAGATCATTTTTCCTTTTTGTAAAAGCACTTGTACTTTGGTAAAAGTACTTCTCCGTTGTTATCTAAAAAAACAATCGTACTTTTTTTGCCGAACTCATGAGTGCTTTGTAAAAGCACTTTTCAAACTCACATGTTACATATTGTAAGATTTGTTTAAGAATCAAGGATGGGCTCTTAGTCACAAAAGGGAATCTACTCTTTTTTCTTCCAAAACCTTTCTTTTTTCGGTATGCCGCTCCGCGAGCAAGGGGTGCCGCGCACGAGCGGAGCGATGACCTAGAAAGAAGCAGTCATTGCTTCAAATTCTCAATTCAGATGAACTGATCATAGATGTATTTTCATTGAACTGAATGTTGTTTCACCTGTAGGCCATCTCTAGACGGATTCATTACGGATACTATGTAGCCGAGGTTAAATTCAAGGGTTCCCCTCAAGACTACGAACCAGCGATTCACGATCAGGTTGGTTGGTTGATGGTAATTTAACAGGTGGAAGTTGAGCTTGGCGTATTTTATACATTGACCGCTTGTGGATTACATTTCGGGAAGTGTTTTGTAGAGCAGAAAATTAAATGAAAATAGGGTTTGAATTTTTCAGGATAGGGACAGTTTGATGAAATTGTTGACATTTGTGGATGTGGAAGAGATGGTGAAGAAACGAGTTGAGAAGAAGGCAAAGGTGTTTGGGCAAGAAGTAAGCCTAGTTGACAATGCCAACGCTAAAACCGACAAACACAACGCAAGTGAAAAATACAAGGTTGATCCATCGGTAGTTTCTCGCCTCTACGAAGAATGGATAATGCCGCTCACAAAGCTTGTTCAAGTTGAGTATCTCCTTCGTCGGCTAGACTAGATTCAAAGTTTGATGAATTTTGTGTGTCGTACATTGTCAATCATTCTCGGACTTTGATGACATGATTATATAATAATACTAAGTTCGTAATGTATCCTTGTGTGTTTGGAGATGTGTATTTGCCATTTTAGCTAGCGGGAATTTTTTACAACAGAAGGAATCAAATTCGTATTTTACCACTGAAACGTTCTAAAGAGACTAAATTTTAGGATCATATTTTATAGACCACGAGATGAAGCCATTGATGATTGAGTTTCATTTTATATAATAAAAAAAATGAGCCCAACCACATGATGTGGAAAATTTAACCGTATCTTGTCATAATTGATATGATCTAAATTAAGTGGAGCGAATCATGAGTTTTAGGGTGCAGAATGAAAATATTTTTGTTTCAGAAAAAGACATTACCCAAAAACAAGCCTAATTAATAGGGTTGCTACTTTTTCCAAACTTGCTCATTGTCCACGGCCCGTTATAAGAAAGCCCAAACCATTTACCCAGAAAGAATACGTCGTCGTCGTGACTCGTAAGCGGAAAAATAATAATTAACACCACGAAAATGGAGGAGCTGAGAGCTCAGTTGTCACTACTGCTGACTGGTACGTTACAACAATCCAAACTCTCCTCTCTCTTTCTTCTCAACGCAGCGAGTGAGAGATTGAAAAAAAAATCCCCAAAAATCTGACATGCATTGCTTGTAAACCCTAATTTTGGAGAGTTCGAAGCCAGCATTTCTACTGTCAGCGGGTTTAGGGTTCATTTTTCACTCCGATCGAGCTCACTGTAAGTACGTATTCATCTCTCTGTTTATAATTATTTTTCTTTCTGTTATTTTTCCGGCCATGAGTTTCTTCTAAGAGCAGAGCTGTTTGATGATAAATTTGTGAATTTATCTGTTTTATTTTTTTATTTTTGAGCATTTCTGGAGGAATTCACGTGTTTTTTTTTATGTGTTTGGTCAGGTAGGTTTAAGCTTTGCTAATTTGATATTATTTATCTTGTTCATCATCTTATGCTTTGCTTAACAGACAGATTTTGAATCCAATGGGGGCGTCTTCGAATGCCAAGGGAGATATCGGTATGAGCAGCAAGGGAGAAAGTTTTACAAATGGTGTTGACATGGACATCGATGATAGTGACTATGATGATGAACACGATTACTCGACTAGCCTTAACGACCTGGGGGAAGGACTTCTGATGAATTTCTGTAAGGAGGCAGCAACGTCATTCTTCGTTGAGTATGGCCTCATTAGTCATCAAATCAACTCATACAATGACTTTATAAAAAATGGCATACAAAGGGTCTTCAGTTCTTTTGGTGAGATTGTGGTTGAGCCTGGCTATGACCCGTCGAAGAAGGGAGATAACGAATGGCGCTATGCTTTAGTGAAGTTTGGGACTGTTACCCTTGGCAGGCCAAGTTTTTGGGGTGGTTCTGACAATGATAAGGAGTATAATATGTTGCCTAGGCATGCTCGACTTCAGAACATGACATACTGCTCTAAGATGAAAGTGAATATCACCGTCGAGGTAAATGAATTTGATAATTAAGTTAAGTAGATGCATGAAATTAATTTTAGTGCAGTTCTGCTGTCTCATTTGACATTTTTTTCATGCTGTAGATAGTCCAACTTATCTAGTTATGATTTCGAGCTCTACTTCGCTAAAGTGTTTAACATGAATTTTACTTGACATACTACACTTACAAATCATGATACCATAGTTTGATTTATCATGCAGCTGTATCATAGAATATGGTGGGTGTCCTTTTTGTGTAGTTTCTGTGTTGACAACCAATTTGGAGGATAATAATCTTAAAATATTTCCTTTTATCTCTCCATTTCATAATGTCTCATAATATATGGAATATTTGTAATCTGTCAGGTATATAATCAACGACTTGTCAGCAGCGATAAGTTTAAGACTGGAAAAGAACGATTTCTTGACAAGGAAATTTTAAGTACAGATACCAGAGACATTACAATTGGTAGTGTCCCTGTGATGGTGAAGTCTGACTTATGCTGGATGAAGGACGTTGAGAAAGGTGACTGTGATTTTGATCATGGAGGCTATTTTATAATCAAGGGTGCAGAGAAGGTGAGCCCAAAACTTACTTTAATTTCTGACATGGAGATGACTCATTATTTCTGGTTGCAAATGAAGTTTGCAGATGATCTAAGTGTAGAAATGACAGTTTTTTCACCTTTCTGGATTTTTGTTTGTTCAAAGTTACTTGGTGCCTTTAAAATTGTTTAATGGAACTCTGCTATGCAATGTAATGTTTCTTTTCATACGGAGTTTTAGTGACATTTGTATAATGTATAATGCAGACATTTATTGCACAAGAACAGAGCTGTCTGAAGAAACTTCTCATCACAAATAATCAGGGTCTGACAGTAGCATATAGGTCAGAGGTGAAGAGGCATAGGTTAATAATTAGGCTAGTTGGAATTTCTAAACTTGAAAACATTGAAGGAGTAGAGAAAGTCCTTACTGTTTACTTCATGTCGACAGAAATCCCTGTGTGGGTATGGTTTTTTGCGCTTGGCATTTCATCGGATAGAGAAGTTATTGATCTGATTGATTATGGTAGTGAAGATGCCAGCATTTTGAACATACTTTTTGCCTCAATCCGCGATGCCGATAAAGCTACTGAAAAAGTGGATGGGGGCTTCCGTAGGGGGAAGAATGCCCTCAAATATGTGGATGATGTGATAAAGAAAACTGCATTTCCACCTGGGGAAAGCATCGAAGAGTGCATTAGCTTGTATCTTTTTCCCAATCTCAGAGGCCTAAAGCAAAAGGCTCGCTTTCTTGGGTATATGGTGAAGTCCCTGTTACAAGCCTCCGCTGGTCGCAGGAAATGCGACAATAGGGATGACTTTAGGAACAAGAGGTTGGACTTGGCAGGTGAGCTTCTCGAACGAGAGCTAAAGGCGCATATCGGACATGCGAGGCGGCGCATGGCAAAGGCCTTGCAGAGAGACCTTTACGGTGATCGGGTTGTGCGGCCAATTGAACACTACCTAGATGCCTCCATAGTTACTAATGGCATCTCGAGAGCATTCTCAACTGGAGCATGGTGTCATCCCTTCAAGAGAATGGAGAGGATGTCTGGTGTAGTGGCTAATGTTGGGCGAGCGAATCCGCTGCAGACAATGATTGATATGCGGAAGACAAGGCAGCAGGTTCAATATACAGGGAAGGTTGGAGATGCAAGATACCCGTGAGTAACTTTTAACTTATCTCAACTTTTGTCTCCTGCTGTCGTGCAATAGCTTTATCCTAGTAGGCGGTTCAAAGAATATAGCTTTAGCTTAAAAATGCTCTGCTCATAGATATTTCTTCTTTTTTTTTTTTTTTTTCAGCTGAAAGTTCTTCCTTACACTATTAGAACCTTTGTTATTCCATTCCATACATCAACACCAAAAACACATTAAGTTCTTTTTTGTTGTAAATGAGTTTAGATTTCATTGGGATGAAATTATTTACTTTAAGCTGTTTGCCATTCTCTTACTAACTACATGCTCTATAAAATATCTGCTGCATTAAATCCTTGGGGGCTTTACTGCTTTTTTGTTTGCAAGATATTTGGACAAATTGAAATTGTGGCTTACAGAACCTTGTGGATGCAGGCATCCTTCTCACTGGGGTAAAGTTTGCTTTCTCTCAACCCCAGATGGTGAGAATTGTGGGCTTGTAAAAAATTTGGCTACCACTGGATTAGTAAGTACGAATATATTGGAATCTCTACTACCTGAATTGTCTCTCTGTGGAATGGAGAAATTGGTGGATGATACTTCTACCTCACTGCAAGGGAAGCTCAAAGTTTTTCTGAATGGGGACTGGGTTGGAGTTTGTGAAGATTCCCTCTCATTTGTCTCGGAACTCAGGAGGATGCGACGTAGGAAAAAGTTGCCACCTCAGGTTTTCTCTTGTTCAATCCCATTGATGAGTTTCAAATTTCAAATTGCTTTGGTCTTGTTATGATGGCCATAATTTATTTTTGCTTCAGTTTAGGCAGACATTTGAATTACAATGTGTAAACATGACCTTCAGACAATAATCTTGTACTACAGCTTTAGAAGCAATGTTGATCACAGTATTTCGTGTTTTAGTATAACCTTTTTCTTATTTTGGTTGGTCTCTTGATTACATGTTTATACATCATAATTGTGTTTTATTTGATTCCCAAGAAGCTAGCCATTGTTGAATGCTTTCCTGATCTATTTGCATTTGCTTTATTAAGTTGGTTGTTATTTCCTTCCAGTTTGATACTTCTGTCTTTTAATTAGGGATTTCAATTTGCTCACTCTTTGCTGATAAGTAATCAACCTTTATGTGATTCTCAAAGTTTTAGTTACCTGCTAATTCTATGATAGTTTTAATTAGTAGTAAGCAGATAGATGATGTATGTCTGCATTATTGGAAAAAATTTAGTTTAACTGCTCCTCATACATTTTTTTTTTTTCACTAGGAAGCAACATGTACTTTTGATGCATATCTCAGTTATTAGAATCAGTTCATATCACCTGTTATTTATACAGTTATTTTCCTTTGCTAATAAGCAATTAGCGTGCATTTTTATGATGGATACCAAACACTGGTCAATTTTGTCTTAGGTGGAAATCAAAAGAGATGAAAAGCAAGGAGAAGTACGAGTATATTCTGATGCTGGAAGGATCCTACGCCCTCTCTTGGTAGTTGAGAATTTGAACAAGATAAAAGCATTTAAAGGGGGAAAGTATCCATTCCAGTATTTTCTTGACAAGGGAATAATCGAGCTTATTGGAGCTGAAGAAGAGGAAGACTGTAGTACTGCATGGGGCATTAGTTATCTGTTCATGGAAGAAAAGGGAAAATCAGCTGTAAAGTACACACACTGTGAGCTGGACATGTCATTCCTGTTGGGTTTAAGCTGTAGCATTATCCCATTTGCGAATCATGACCATGCAAGGAGGGTCCTCTACCAGGCCCAGAAGCACTCGGCGCAGGCTATTGGGTTTTCGACCACAAATCCTAACCTTCGAGTGGATACGCTGTCTCACCAACTGCACTACCCCCAGAGGCCACTTTTTCAGACAATGACGTCTGACTGCCTTGGCAAACCAGGACACCAACTGGGTCAAAACAGAGTTTTGCCAAAGCCCGAATTGCACAATGGTCAGAATGCGATTGTGGCAGTCAATGTTCACTTGGGATTCAACCAAGAAGACAGCATAGTAATGAACCGGGCATCATTGGAACGTGGTATGTTCCGATCTGAGCATATCAGAAGTTACAAGGCTGAGGTTGACAACAAGGACTCCCTGGAAAAAAGGCGGAAGCCTGATGATTGTGTCAATTTTGGCAAGATGCAGAGCAAGTTTGGCCGGGTTGACAATCTCGATGAGGACGGCTTTCCATACGTCGGTGCAAACTTGCAGAGTGGTGATATCATCATCGGGAGGTGCAGTGAATCAGGAGCTGATCATAGCATCAAACTGAAGCACACCGAAAGGGGAATGGTTCAGAAGGTTGTGCTTTCTTCTAATGACGACGGAAAAAACTTTGCTGTTGTTTCTATGAGACAGGTAAATCTTACAGTGAAATAATTTTTTAAGGCATGCCTATTGTTTTTATTCCAGTTTAAGAATTTCCATTCACTAATTATATTGTAACTTTTTGAACAGGTTCGCTCACCGTGTCTTGGAGACAAGTTCTCGAGCATGCATGGGCAAAAGGGGGTTCTAGGTTTTCTGGAGTCCCAAGAGAACTTCCCTTTCACAGTACAGGGGATAGTTCCAGATATTGTTATAAATCCCCATGCATTTCCGTCAAGACAAACTCCTGGTCAACTCTTAGAAGCTGCTTTAGGGAAGGGAATCGCCTCTGGTGGTCAGAAGAGATGTGCCACCCCATTCTCTACTCTCTCTGTCGATGACATCGCAAAACAACTGCATAGGTAACTGTGTCGTTCTATTTCATGACTTATATACTTCCACTGCACTGTAAAACAGTACATTTTAATTTCACATTCCACCCTGACATCATTTTACTTCTCAGACTCTCAGCCCTGGCATTTTCTTTTGAAATTTCTCTCTCTGGGCATTTGGCATGCTAAATTAGTTTGAATTTTTACTGAATGTTTGTTGCTATATAAAAGAATGTTAAAATCTTTCTTCATTGGGTTGTTCTAAGTATGTGCCAGGGTACCCTGCATAACTTCACTGCCATGCTTTCCCTTAATGTTTCTGAGTACAATCATTTTGACCCTTCGTTTTTCAGTTATCGGTTCCATTTTAAATTTAGATGTATTAGTTGGTACTTGGTAGGTCACATGTCTATGAATTGTTCTCGCATACAAGCAGATGGTCTTTCCTATTTTCCCCGTAGAATGGATTAGAGTTGTTCATGTGTCGTTTAATATCTATGTCAGGGCTGGATTTTCAAGATGCGGAAAAGAGAGAGTGTACAGTGGTGGAACCGGTCAAATGGTTCGTTCCCTCATATTCATGGGCCCCACCTTTTATCAGCGCCTGATTCACATGTCTGAAGACAAAGTAAAGTTCCGGAACACTGGGCCAGTCCACCCTCTCACCCGTCAGCCAGTGGCAGATCGGAAGCGATTTGGAGGGATCAAGTTTGGAGAAATGGAACGTGACTGCCTAATAGCACACGGAGCTTCGGCAAACTTACATGAGCGCCTATTCACTCTCAGTGACTCCTCCCAGGTGTATATCTGCCAGAAATGCGAACACGTAGCTAATGTGATCCAACGGTCGGTTGAAGGAGGACGTAAGATCAGGGGTCCGTACTGCCGGAATTGCAATTCTGCAGATGATCTTGTGAAGGCAAACGTCCCGTATGGAGCGAAGTTACTGTGCCAGGAGCTGTTCAGCATGGGGATCAGTTTGAAGTTCGAGACTCGGTTTTCTTAAGAGTGAAGGAGTAGTTGTGGAATGGGGGAACCTAAATCTGACTGATGAATATTTTGATTAGTACCAATCGGCAGCGTTTGTATAATTTGTTGCTACAACTTGTTATTAGGACATCTGAAATTCTAATGGTCTCTTTAGAGAATCTGAAAATGTGGGCTAGTCCACTTGACAAGGACAATGTGCTCGCCCTCTTGCATTCAGGTTCAAATCTTTCGCCCCCATAAATTTGATGGATCACTTGTTTGTTTGGATCACTTTACATTTGTATTCTTATGCTTTAAGTCCCAAAAATCATTTTTACGAAAAAATCACAAAAATCGAAAATTATATCACCGTTAAATCAAATGGTGGTCATTTTAGTTTCTTTGAATGATTGTATTCGTCTGTTCTTATCATTACAATTAGATGCCTTAATGGTTTTAGATTTATTTAATTTTTTGCAAGTATGATCGGTTTCGATTCGGGAGTAATCCTCAAATGTTCTTCAAATAAGATTATTTGAAGAATCACTCAATGGAAGGGGACTTTAATTTATCCAACTACTCTCGACGAAACAAGCGTTTGCATAAGTTCCGTATCATTTTTTGGGTGAATCCGTCCCTTGCATAAATGGCTCCCGCATAGCTGTCGGCAGCTTCAGCTCCGGCTCAACTTCGGGAAGTGGCAAGAAATAGCAATCAACCATGTCTTTGGACACATCCTTGAAACTAGTTGGGTTCCACTGCAGAATTGGATGAAAATCAATTAAATGATCACAGCTTGAGAAAAAAAATTTCAAAAAGGTTGTAATTTTCTCCGACTGGAAGTAAACTAGGTACCTTGGGTGCGAAGTCCTTGTCTACCAATCTTGCTCGAACGCCCTACAGATAGATATAAACGGGGCAATGTAATAGCAGATTAAAAGACGTTCACTCCATTGTTAACCAAAAAACGAAAGAAGAGGTTCACTCCATTGAACTTTGAGAATCACATACCTCAGAGAAATCACTAGAGACCCGGTTGGAAATTGCAGCAAGAGATGTACGATATTCACGAGCCTGACACTGATCAAGAGGTTGAAATCTGCCCTCACGTATCTGGATGCACGAATGAAAGTCAGGCATAGAGTGTAAAATCAATACAGGTCCAACTCCATAAACTGCTAACTCACCGATTGTAAAGAAACTATCAAACTCAAAGGGGAGGCTTCTTTTATTTTCTTGAGGACTGTTTTGCACCATTCATCATAAGAGTCAGCAGCTTCCTTTTCCTGTTCAATTAATTTATTTTCTTTTCAAAAATATTTACCAAAGTAAATTGTATAATGCATTCGATAAAAACATGGTAATGTATTTGAAAACTGATAGGCTGAATAATGGCATTATTATCATCAACCTTTTTCATTAGAACGACATCTCATACCTACCAACGCATCGAAAATTTCCTCAATCGTGTCATGGCTGAAACATCTATCAATAACGTCAAGCCTGAGTTGACATAAGAAAATGAAGATAAATAAAGTCAGACGCATAGATCGATGGTACTAGAAGTAGTTTCTCTGGAACTGATAAATCTTCGTGCTATTGCTGCAGTACCAAGAACGAAAATTACTTAGAAAGTATACTCCTCCTGTCTAGATAAACAAGGTCACCATATTGTTGTGCAAGAGCTGTTTCTATTACAGAAGGTTCATCCGTAACTAAATTTCCAAGGCGTTCTTCAACCATAGCAAGTCTCGGGCAGGAAGAGTTTTGGTGACTGTCAGATGCAGATTAACGATGAAATATTGAAACAAAGAAACAGAAGAATAAGGTGCAGTTTAAACAAACCGCATTTAACGTATAGTGCGTAGCAAGGCGACAGGCGATCATCTCTACACCATTCTCCTGCAAAAAAAAAAATGAAACCTGAAAACATAATTCTTTTTTTTTTTTTCGGTAATCGAAAACATGATCTTTTAGATATATGTAGAACTTGAAATTGTGATAAAGGCTGGACATCTCAAATGTACAAAAGTATATGATACCTAGGTAGCCAGGTAGACGAGACGGATAAAAGGAAGCCCCTGCATCAGGATGGAAACCTATCTGAGCCTCTGGATTGGAAAATATCTGCAAAAATCAAGCACACTTGAAAAGAATTGACAGAGACTTCATTTAAGACACGACAGGTAGAAAAGAAAAAGGAAGAGTTGTTTTCTTTTTCAGAATACTGGAAGATGCTTCTCTCAAGATGACAAAAAGCATACCTACGAGAGTCTTTGACGCGTAAGGATTTCTCCAAACTTGAAAATGATTTCATAGCAAAAAAACGTCACTTTTCCTAATATAGCAATAGTTCATCTTATTTACAGAATAATGTTGCACTATGTATGCATTGTAAAACTTGCACTTAGGATATTCAGCATTTCAAACTCTCAAGTATACGTGAACCAATTAACCATCTCCGCCCGCCCCCCCCCCCCCCCCCCCCAATATTCATATCTTCAACAAAGTTTAATGTCAAAACTTCAAATCACAACACCTAAAAAGTGGTGTGATCCAATCAGAAACAGAATAGGTGTCACACAATACATGGTTTCGCTAAAATCTTCTTGATGAATATATGAAATAATTCAGCCTTCAACAAAAACCACAACACCAGCATCTAGTACAACTGATTTGCAAAGTAAGAAGCAGCACATACAGTTTTATCAGTCACCACCCGAAGCATTCCTGGGATTGCAATTCCAGCCCCAGCTCCCATGGTGATACCATCCATGATAGCTACCTGCACAAATATGATCAAGTGATTATCAAAAGTGACATGTAAGTATTGACAGGAACCTGAAAAGGATATTTCTATGCATAACATATGTTTAACTTTGGTGTGCAACTCAGGTCGTAAATTCTGTAATACGATTACACGACACTGATTCACTGCTAGTATGGTACAAAGCACACTGGTTTAGAAAAGCTCAACACTCACATGCGGCTTCAGGTACGTTCCTTGAATACATACAAACTTATACAATGTCTCAAAAAACTTCTTACATTCATCAACATCCCCTGCACATAGTTAATGCATTTGATAAAACCAACAATGCCATGTAAGTATCAAACACTTAAGACCAGAAAGACTACGCTCCAAACAGCGTGAAAATGTGCATGAACAGTACCACAAAAAAAGGGTCTAATCAAAGTGATGCAACTTAAATCAGCCCAAAAGACAAGCAAGAAATAAGCTGTGAAGAAAAGGTTCAGTACTAGAAAGTAGAAATGGCATTCCCAAATCAGTTGAACGTTTATGATCGAATTTTAAAATACGTCATTATGTATACTAAAAATACAGTATCGAAGAATTTGTTCTCATTATGTCAATGAAACTAGAAAACAATCAATCTTGAGTTGATGCCCTGAACTACACGAGGTGTAGAGACGTAAACAAAACAAAAGATTGAGTTACCCTCATTAACTAGTTGATAGAGGCTGACAGCATCTGCGCCAGAGCAGAAGGCCCTCCCACTACCCTTCAAAAGGCAAAACATCAAGTATTCTTTCAAAATTAGTATTCTCAACACATTGCAAGAAGTTAAATAATCCGATAGATGAAAAAAAGCATGATGCCTTAAACCAGAAAACCGTGTCCCGCAAGGGAACAACATACTACCTTCATCAAGACAAATCCAATATCCGGGTTATCCTCCCATGATTCATACAGTCTCTTCAGTCGAGCTGCCTATAAAACCCAAGAGCAAAAACATCAAAAGATTCAAAATTTATCCGAAATAAGCAACACCATCATAACAAAAACTCTTAGGAAGCAACAAGATTTAAGAAACAGAAACGACACTAACCATGGAATTGTGGAGAGCGTTGAGTGCAGATGGTCCGTTGAGAATTGCTGCTCTCGATTTAGCTCTTCCCTCCACCGTAACCTGAGTTTTTACATTCGTAAAAAAATTAATGGATGCATTGCAACAAAACCCAAATTGAATTAATAAAAAGAAGAAAGATTTGTACTTCTGTGGAAATGAAATGATGAGAGAGAGAGAGAGAGAGCAGGTCTTGGACGTCGTCGTATTGGGCATAGCTTGGCTGAGCAGAAAAGGCTATGTGAGGAGAGAGAGAGCTTCTTCCTCTGACTCACGCACTTCCTGAGAGACTAATAATTTCTCTCAAAACCGTAAAATAGAAAAATTGAGTAAAATGATCATAAACCAAACATCAATTGATTAATGGATCAAAATTAAATATCAATGACACGCTGAGAAGAAAATCGATAAGATATCGACAACATACTAAAAAAATTATCATTTCGGTAAATAAGACTTAAAGAATGACTTTATTCAGATAAAATTACAAAGAACATCCAGTTTATTTCACCACGAGCTTGCTAAGCAACTGAATTACAATTTCCAATTGTATATAAATCCAAAAGCAAAGTAAATTTTAGTAGTTTAGAATCTCGTCTTATCGAATAAAAAAGAAGTCGAAAGCAATGTACATTTCAGCTCGTTCATGTACATTCTATCTTCATGGAATAGTAACAAATTGAAGTGCTCATCAACTTGGACAAGCCCTACCTTCTCCCAGCTCATCAACTGGCACGGCATAGGGGGAATCCCAGTCCGCGTCGAAAACATCTTGAAGCTGAGAAACAATGGCAGGGTTGTATGTACCAAAGCTGACACCAGCTGTTGTATAAAAGTAATCCCAAATGAGATTGCTCGTGCCTATGTGAGCTCGAACATCACTGACCGCATACTTTCCATGGTTGACCCTGGTGTAACCGGGGTATATGTTTCCGGTGTCGGTACCATTGGCAGTGGCAGGTCCGGTCAAGTTGAAACCCGGGACTACATAGTACTTGATCTCAACTTTCCCAGCGCAATGGTTATACGTAGACGAAGAGCAAAGGAAGTTGGAGTAGAGAAGAGATTTTAGGTACTGGTCTGTGCCGTCGATAAAATGTGCCCAGTATGCTACCAATATTTTCACTGTTGCTTTCTTTGAGAAGACAACCTATCAATTACAATTTAAGCATTTTGTAAGTGTTCTCTGAGAAGTGATTGTCACGCTCCGCTTTTCTCTCCAGCACTTCTCCCTCGTTCTTTCTAGTCTTAAGATTGAATAATAAAACGAGAAGGAAGAGAAGAGTGCAGAAGAGAAAATGAGAGTGAAAATCGCTATCCTTGTTTTAAGAAGTCGGAGAAGCATGAGTCCAAGAGCAGAAGTAATGACAGTGGAAGGTACCTCAGATATTGCAGAGGAGAGGGATGACCAGTAAACCGTTGGGTTCGTATACTGGGACTGACCAAGCCAGTCCATGGTACTAATTCGAACCGTTCCTCCACTTCCTACAGAATGAATAGTCTCTATCCAAGCCTGTTCATCAGCCTGGTACCTACCAAATGTCAACTGCAGATGACAATTTTCGTCAAGATAAAAAATGAAAACACGATGACGAAATAGAAAATTTGAGAAACGAAAATGGTAGATATTGTCTGGTTACCTCTGGAGGAGCAAAAGAGAGATAGCTGGACTGAGGCTGCAAGCTTGAATCATTATACCCAGGAGTCTGCAGTGGCAATTTGAACATGTAGGGATCGCTCAGTATAGGGTATCCAGCTACATGGTGAGTCTCCACCGTTCGAGGAAGAGGTGAACTGCAGTGACATAACTATACAAGTGTTAACTAAAGTTAACTGAAAGGGACCGTAGGAACCGCGTAACCATATAATTTGTTAGCACACTGTTGTTATACGAGCTAACCAGGAATTGATAATTGCTCTTAAATGACGAAAACAACAAATTGATCAACTTCCAGATTATCATACTTGAAGCGCAATGCATACAGTGCCCTAGATGCATAAATAATCAGAACCAGGTCATGGTATGAATATCCAGACACTTGATGCAAAGATCTCGATATGTATACCCAGCAACGTAAACTAGAAATGAGGTTCGTTTCATACCTACACCGCAATTTAGAATCCAAGAAGTGTGACCAGCAAGGAACTTGTCTGTCGACCTGCCACTGCTTATCTGATACAGTTGTCGTATGAGTTGTATGATCAAGAGATGCAAGTGTCCATAGGTTTTCAAAGTAGGTCTCAACCTTTCTTGCTATTTTCGGACAACCAACGAGATAAATTCCAAGTTCCTTCACCTGCAAACATTCAGTAGTAAGACGTTATAAGCCAAAACAGTACCCTATACAAAGTAACAGGATAAATCTGCAGAAGCAGCAAAGTTTCACAATTACTTGTGTGAGAGATTTCCAGTCATTGTTGGCGGATCCAATATACACGTCTCGGCGATCTGATATCCAGACTTTGGCATGGACTACGCCGGACCCCCACCATTTACTAAACAACAAAGTCACATTCTTTACATTTGGCCTTCCTGAAGCAAGGTTGGATGGCTCTGTGGTATAGTCGGGATACACACCTGAGTGGGATAGTAGCCTATAAGGCTAAAACTTCATCATTAACACAAACAATATAATCGCTTTTAAATAAGTAAAGCACATTCTATCTTTAAAACTGTGGTACGAAAATCTCTAGAATGCCTAAAAACGTTTTTAGCCAAGCAAAAGCACATCTGAAAATTCTTGGTATAAAAAGTGATTCTGGGCTATAAAGCACGCCCTTGGAAGTGCTATGTACTTCTCTAGAAAGCACTCACAAGTACTTTTTCAAGAAACACTAAAAACTTCATCAAACTTCCAATGAAAACGTTTATGGGCCACAGTTCTTTCAACTAAGCGATTTCAGATGCAACGTCAACAGTGCTTTTCCAAAAGTTCTTCTAACATGTTTGTCAGAAAAAAGTTAGAAGTGATTCTCCAGCAGGGCCAGCACTTAGATTTTATTAAAAATTACAAGCAGCTTCTAATAAAAGCTTTTATGAACATACATGCTTTCCATAGAAGCATTTTCAAATAAGCTGCTTATTTTGCCAAGTGCAAAGGTGTACACACCTGATGGAAACATTGCGATTAGCAGCATCGTCTATGGCGCCATAAACAGAAGCACCTTCCTGAGCTCCAAACCTCTGCAAATCCTCTTTCGAGTACCCGAAATCCCCGGAACGAGGATCTTCAGGCTGCGCGATTAGCTGCCAGTACTGAGCAATTACGTCCAGTCTCTCCGTCGAGTTCTTCGCCAGCCATTCCAACACATCCGCTGCACAAATTACAATCACAAAACATTTTAAAATATGAATAAATGAAAAAGTGAAGATTTTGCTTACCGGGCATGGACGGAAGCAGCATATACGCCACTAAACTCTTTTTCCCATGAAAAATCTTCAGCCAAAATCATATCATGTTGTTGGAAAGTAAGTTAATAGAATTGTATCCAAATTTTAATTTAATTTCATCGTTCGAAGTTGCCCCACTAAAAAATGTGTCTGGGTCCGTCCATGTTCCTGGGTTTTGAATTTTGAGCGGTAAATGAATGTTTACCGGTGGAAAGGACGCCGGGGACGCGGCGGAGAGCCGGCACGTCGGTGGGGATGGATTGGACGAGCCACGCTTTGCATTGGGATGAAGATTCAGTGGCGGGTAGCAGAGAGAGACTGAGTAACACGACGAGTGCAATCACGGCGGCGGCGGTGATTCTTCTGTGACTGCGATCGACTTTCATCTTTTGATTCGGTTTAATCTGTGGCTATCGTTTCACGGATTATTGGCTAATCCTTGAGTTTACGAGGTGATCCAATGGGGAAGAGAAAAGAAAGTCAAAGACTCGAACTTGAAAGATTATCGAACGTTTACGTTAGTTTCTATACTAGCAAAGTTCGAAATTACAAGATCATTCATCTCTCCCCGAATCTCTTCTATTAAGGTCATCGGATCAAGTGATTTGGACCTATGAAATTTAATCCAACAGCTAAAAATAAAAATCTTTTAAAAATTATAATAATTTTAACTGTTTGATCAAATGAACTTGTAAGTCTAAGGGGATTTGTTGCTAATTGTCAAGAGATTTGTAGGTAAAATGGACTTGTAGGTCTAAAGTGGATTTGTGCTTTAGCGGTTAAAAGTGTTTGTTTAAATAGTATCTTGTATTCGAACTTTGCTGACCAACCTGACCAAGGGTATATGTATTTGGCATCACAAGTGAATTGTAGCTTTATTGTTAAAATTGTGTAACCAATCCAGCGTAAAAGATTTGTATTTTAAGTGATTCTATAGCTTCAAATTCGATAATTTAAAGTTTGGATGTCATGTGTTTGAAATTAACTGACTTAACGAAAGTATTCAGTTGATATTTTGAAGAATTTTAATTCTATTAATAAATTTAGGGTATTCAATCAGTATTTTATGTGATTCTGTGAAATTCCAAGTGTATTCTATTAGAAGTTTATCTTAGAAATCAAGTGTATTCAATTAGGATTTTAAAAAAGTTTAAAAAAGTTTAAAAGTTGAGAAATTCAAGAAAATCTGGATTATAATGTATTTTAAGCATTCACAAATGTCACATCTATTTTACTTGAAATCATCAATTACATCCTATCAAACTCCATGGAATTCATTTTGCTCAACAACCATCTAGCAAGACATCTACCTTTCTTTGAACAAACGATATTATCTACATTAAAGGAGAAAGTAAGCTTAACAATCTAGCAATAATGTAGTTCACTTCTCGTCTTCCTTTTTTTAAATAGTCGATCTAATATAGGGATTCAAATTGATACCTCATTTTGACGTAAGAATAGACCAATAACTAATCGATGAACTTTTCATATACTTGAAATTCAATTTGAAGACAATGAAAGAGATAACTGATCTGAGATATTCCAACTCCAAAAGAACAAGCACTTAAGCAGAAACACAGATCAATTTTCAAGTGGAACCAAAAGATGTTAGACAAGGCACTCCGATAAACTGATTACATTTTAACTATAGTAAACTCCATTTGAGATAATACATGCTTGATAGATTGAAGGACAATATGATCATCAGCTACAACAAATCCCTACTCCTTTGTACACTTGCAGTGGAATTTTCTGAACTCGTTCAATTCGGGTCAGACCTGAAATCCCCATTTACGAGATGGAATACCTCCTCTGTCTCGAAGATGATACCGACTTTGAATCGCCAGGAACATTTGAAGTTGGACTATGAGAACTCCCGGATGTCTCGGAGCTCTTGTTCTCTACATGCCCCTTCCCCACAGACCACAATTTATCGAAGATTCTCCTCGACCTAGATGGAAGCAATTGCGCACCACTTCGGCTGTTTTTACTGTTGTTCTTTCCCAGTTTTGCGTTCTTCTGGAACTCTTCAGTTACCTTCATTTGGCTCATCTGTTTTCCCAACGGCTTGCAGTTTTCTTCTGCTATCTTGTCACATTCCTCGTCCAAATTTGTTGTGGAAAGTGAAGTGTCACTGGGATGGTTGTTAAGGGCTTGAACGCTAGCTGCAGATCTTATCTGCTCAAAGAAGAGAACTTGAACAACGACTCGAAGTGGGAGCTGCTCGTTCTGTGCAGCATCCATCGATGCCTCCAGTGTAAGTTTCTTGACATCCATCAATGCACAAATTCTTTTCCTTTCAGCCTTTGTCAAATTAGGGTGCTCCTGGAGACGCGGCTAATCAGTATTCATGCAAATAATTCACAAATCTGAAGGGCTGTATATATTTCCCAGAAATCGACCAATCTGGTCGCATTCTAAGTCTCTCATTACAATTTAATACAAAGACAAAATAAATAGCAGTGACTCACATGATCGCATTCCTCGTTTATAGTACTTATTAGGCATAGAACTTGGTACAGTTTTAAACATACATAATTTGAATAATATCTTATTCACATCATGACGAAACAGAACAAAGTAAGATCCAAAAGTGTTTAAAATGCTTGTAGCGACAAGAAAGTTTTTTGGCATCAAATAGTTTCACTTTCAGATCTAATGGTCAGTTAAGGTTTGAAAGAAAAAAGGTACATCCTAATAGATCAGAGCTTCCTGCAACCTCTTTACTTAAATCTCAGAATCATGACAAGGCAACTCTAGTGCGAAAACAAAACGCATGACGGAGAATAAATAAACATGTGGATATGGCTTAAACGCATACCTTCAGGTAGATGTCAATGGCTTTGTACAACCCATCGTGAATTGGCCTTGCTGACTCGGGAACTGATTGTGATAACTCTACGAAACTACTGAGGTTAAGATTTGGGTCATGTGCAATTTCTGCAAGATACCCATCGACCAGTCTACCAACACCCAACAACGATCCATGCCCTAATATAAAAGTATCAGTCCCCTTTTCATTCTTCTCGACAACATCCAAATCCCACTTGTACTTTTCACGCATCACATACTGACTCACAACAGACAGAACCAACTCAACGTCATATATAGTAATTTGAGGAGATCGTGCGGGGATCAACAAGTCACCTACACGAGCTTCATGCAACTTCAAACTGATCCTCTTCACCAACTCCTCCCTCAACAACTCGTCTGCTCCAACCAAAATAGAAACTTTCAAAAGTTTCAGCAAGAAACTGGATGAACAACCCATACCTTTGTCAGACGGCAATAAGCAAATAATTGTTTCTACCAGAGATTTGTTCCTCAAGGCATGTTCGTCCAAAACCAGTGCTTCAACAGAATCTGGCAACCATCTAACTGCGTAAGTCTTCAGAGCCTCCCCAATAACAGTGCCATCCATTCTTCCCTTTGATTTCACAGCAATAATAACTCGTTTGTAGAGATCAATATCCAGCTCACATATGTCTTCAACCCACCAATCCCTTGGAACTTTTTCAAATTTGTCTCGATAATTCATCCCTGCTTCAATAATTTTATCACGCTCTGCTAATTTTCTGTTATATGTGTAGGACCAAGTGATGTTGGCAGGGTCTACAGATGTTTTAGAAGCAATTGAGTCTATGCATCTTCCAACAATCTTCAGATCTTCAGACCACGACAGAAGAGGTTTAGTGGTTTGTAGCACAATGATGGAATCTTTCCAGCTACGGAAGATGCTTGAGTTAAGGAACACCTCAATTTTGTATATTAGGTTACTGTGATCAACACCCTCAGTCATTTCCAGATACTCAGCAGCACATCGAGCAGCCACAACATTGTAAGCGTTGAGAGTAACAGTCATTCCATAGCAAAACTTTGCACAAATTTCAAAGGATTTTGGCCCACCAGGAAAATCAACCATGTCAATTTCTTCAGAATCCTCATTGGCTTTTGATACTAGTTTTTGCAGGCGATTGCTCTTGGACAAGAGAGGGAACTGGAAAAACAGTTACAATCAACAATAAGAAACAGAGCACGCTTCAGCAGAGAAAGCAGCAGTCATTCGAGTAACAAATGTACCATTCAATAATGATCATGTACATTTTAGATTTGACCACCACTATTATGTTCATACGAACACAAATCATAAAAAAACATTCATATGCATATATGACTCCAAACAAATCTAATAATGCTATTATAGTAAAAAATTCATGTAAATTGATGAACAAGGGTGGCAAGGAAAAAATACCTTGTGAAGGTAAAACTTCACTTCCCCAACATTAATAACAACATCCGTCTGCAGTTCAGACGACACGTATCTGCATGAACATATGAAAACCAGTTAATCACACAGACACAAGGATGATAGAAACTACAATAAGACATGCATTTACAAAATATCTCTATAACTGGATCCTTATGATGCACGGAGTTACAAAAAATTCAAATATAAACTGTCGGGCTTAAGCGCGTCAAGATTTTCGTTCTTCTTAGTTAAGATTTTACTATGAGGAGGTGGTTTTTGGTAAACTCCAACACCGATGTCAGATTATAGACTTCAGATTCAAGTTATAACTGAAACTAAAATGTCATAAGGAAACTAGACATACAAGAATTAAGCAAGTTTCAATCATTTGCATATTTATTCAAATGACGCCGAAACAATCCACCGGAAGAAAAACACCTCCCGTAATTCGTTTAAATTCCTCATTCACCGGAAGAATTTAGCCGGCGTGATGGTTACAGATCTTGGGGGTACTCCATATGACATTTCCACATTTGGACCACAAAACTCAATAAAATAGTGACATTCCAAATGCAGGACCACATCCTGAAAGACAGCTTCCACACCCCCATAACTCCCTTTAACCCTACACTCTCCAAAATTAAAATAGCAATAATTTAAAGGGCAGAAAGAAAAACAACGATAAGAACAGCACAAAAACGCCCATGTGCTTTCGTCTCTTGTTTATTATCTCCTCAAAAGTTTCTTGTAATTATCCTATCACAAAAATAAAGGGTTCTTTTCTTGGAAGGTGGCAGCTAATCTTTCACCTTTCCAGTATATAGGTATATAAATCACCATCTAATGGCAAAGTTGTAATTTCACCCCCTTTCTTTCACCATTCAGTGGCAGCAATTCACATGCTCTGTACAAAAACAGAGCATGCTTGCAGAAAGAAACTCAAACGCACATGTTTTGTCAAGCAAAAATGAACAATTTCACGGTTCTAGAGAGAGATGAAGGACCTCATTCGTTTGAAATTTCACAATTATAGAGAGAGAAAAAAGAGACCCATAATTCAGAATCTAAGAGAAGTTCATCAAGTTCATAGCATTGACAGGAGAGGCAAAAATAAATAAATAAACAAAACATGAAAAATTCGAAAAGGGATTTTAGATAGAAAAATTGGAGTTCGTGATGCAAAAAATTATGAGCACAGAGAAAAAGTGAAAACCCGTTTTACCTGATAGACTTGCCATCAGCCTGAAATGCATCAGGCTTAGACCCCAGTTTCATAAACTTCATTTTTGTACCAAAATACCCTTCGAAGCAACCAGAAATTACAGCACCAAACTCCTACAGACGAAGTCCTACTCCTCCACAGAGATTAAGGACTCCGTTTCCGTTTCTTCTCAATCTGCGGCCAATGCCAACTTTCTCTCTCCTCCCTCTCCCTCTAAAATAGCCGGTCCTGAGGAACACTCGGCCGAACACAGAGACGAAAGCCCTCTCCGCCCTTGAGGACCAAACCAAATTCTTACCCTCTCTGTTTTTCTCTCTAAAGCACGCAACCAGGAGACCATAAACGTTATAGCAAAATCCTCGACCTTTACGCCCTCCCCATTCGCTTCGCAAGCCTTTATGATGACATTGATGACGCTTCTTACACAAAACCCACGACTATTTCCCCCCAACAGGAAAACCCCACAAGCCCAAAAATACAAAAAATGAAGAAAGTAACGAAATTTAAGAGGATATTTATGAATAAACTCCACCCTCTATCTCCTTTTCTCTCTCTAACCCACAACTATTTCCCCCTAAGAGAAATGCTAATCACAATCCCACAACCCAAAAAATAAAAAATAAAAAATAAAAAAATGCAGAAAGAATTGATTTTTCGCAGAGGATTTTTATGAACAAACCAAACCCCTCTCTCTCTCTACTTTCTCTCTCTAACTGTCTGCAAGCAGAGGGGAATAATAAATTCTCGCCGCCTTTGCTTTAAATCACTTCCTGATACGCTGAAGATCTTCCCCTCTGGCTCGTTTCTTTATGATTTTTTTTCCCAAGGCGCGAATCTCGACGACGAGTCGATGATGATATTGTAATCTGACGCGGCTGTCTCCTCCTCCTCCGAAACTTGCAGCGGAAGAGAAAAAGAGGAAAGAGAGAGAGTGGTGGTGGTGTGAATTTTGGGTCTAGTGAGAGAGTGTGGGTGTGTATATAGAGCAGGGAGTGTGTAGACAGAGTGGCTCAGAGGACATAGCTTTTGTGCCGCTAAAGCACGCCACCCTTTTATGGTCGATTTTGCCCTTTGTAATTTGCGGTTTATGCCCGAGGAAGGAGGGTGGACGATGGTCACGATATTGAATTACGCGGGAGATGTTGATTACGCGCCGGGTAAGGAGAGTGGACGATGTTGGTGGGGACCTTGTGCCGGGTGGATGTTCCTGCCATTTGACGTCTAGTTAAGATGAGCAACTTTTTTACTTTTGACGTCTAAAACTATCTTCAAGGAAATATCAAATTTTAAATTTTAAATTTAAATTTAATAGGTTACGTAGTATTTTGATATTTTTTTTAGAAAAATTATATTTTGATATGTTAAATTAAATTATTATTTTATTACATTATTTTATTTTCTTTATTTTTGTTATATATTTAAAGAAACATTAAATTAATAGAAAAATAGTAGTTTGAAGTAAAAGCAACAGCGACATGGCCTTCTGCTTCAGTGGGCATTTCATCGAAGCAAATCTTGAGCAAAAACTCTTCAAGTTTTTGTGCGAGATCGACCTTCCAATTGGATTCTAGGTCACGCTCTAGTCGCACTCTATGAAATCCGCCTCTATTGTTGTCGTTGCTTCCACTAGATACTCTTCAACTTTTTGTGCGAGATTGAATTCCCAATTAGATTCTACACACTCTGCTTGCATTCTATGAAATCCGTCTCCACCGTCGCCGTTGTTGCTTCCACCCGCTTCATCTTTGGCGTAAGTCATCTTCTGTGAATGGGATTGGGCATTAGCGCATTGTGAAGGTGCTAGATTCACATTTGGTGGAGACTAGGGTTTTTCAATTTGGGGTTTCGAAAGCAATGATTTTTAAGTCGAAATTGGTCCACACAGTTTGTGATAGATGGGAAATCAATGATTTTCTTTGCGATTGCAGTTTGTGAGATTGGTCTTGGTTCAACATGAAGATGGGTAGAGTGAGAGAAGGCAAAAAATTTAATAAAAAATATTTAGTAATTAATTAAAATTTATTTGACAACAACCCCTCCTGCTACCTTTTCATGTAATGCCATATAAGATTTGACATTTCGGTTGAAAATTATAATGTTGTTATTTGTTACTATTATTGATGATGTGGACATTTTGATATCTCCTTTAGAGATGCTCTAAGTCTATATTTAACTTAAGATTGGGAATTCGACATAAAAAAATTTTAATTAAACAAAAAAAAAACTTAAGAAGGGGAATGCCTAGTTTAGGAGAGCAATTAGGACTCGTTTGAGCGTAGTTTTAAAATGATTAAAAATGTTTTTAGTAAAATTATTTTTTTATTTTAAAGTACTTTACAAAAGCTATTTAAGTGTTTCCTCATAATTCACTTGTATTTTTATTAAGAAATAGTTTCACAAAACAGTGATCTAAAGTGTTTTTGTCATTTAAAAATCACTTCCAAACAAACTATTATACGACAACGATATACTGACATTGTATGTTCGTGTTAATAATACAATGCTATTATTAGCAATGTGCTTGTGTCACATTTTTATTGGTTTAAGGTAAAATTTAAGTTAGTTGTCATGTGATAAAGAAAGTAACGAAAATATATATTTTCAATCATTGAATGACAAAATTTATCTTGGTCTTGAGGTTATTCTTCGATAGTAATCTTGATTTTGCTTGTAAAAAACTGTAATTTCATTACAATGGAGAAAATCAAAACATGTCTTATCATAATTCTAACTCATTAATTCATTTTCTTGAACTATATAATTAGTGATAATTGAGATCATGTCATGAACCTAAAATGTAAGATCAACAAAGAAACCCGCATGTTACAACTTAAGTGAATTTGTAACTACCACACTAAAACATCACTCATTAGGTAAATAATCAACCACATTTATTAAGTAAAACATGTGATTACATTTTTATAATTGATTTTTCAATTTGTTCAAATAACTATTTTATAATCTTCCCACAGTATAATAGTCGTCGGAAATTTAACCCACCAACCATCACCCGTTCAAATTTATTATTATGCATGGCATATGCATGGACCAGATCTATCTATCTTAAGCAGTAAATTCCAAAACGACATGCAGCCACGAGTCAATTGGTCAAACAAACCAATTTAGACACCTAATTTTTCCTTTGATTGATTCTGTTCTTTTAATAAGATGGCGAGCATCTTCAAAAGAAAAGTCAAAATCTTAGGTGAAATACTATTGTGCATATTTGATATTAAAAGTATCTTTAATCGAAGTATTATTTGTTAACTAGATTTGAAAGCTCAATGATTTGATGTCAAATTCGACATCAATATCAAATTTATTTTTAATTCATTTTAATAATGAATCCCTTATTCCACTAACATTTCAACCAATCAAAATTTTATTTCAAATTTTATTTAATAATTACAATCATTTAAAGTTCTATTTAAATAATACAATAACATTTGACAATTTGGTTTGAAAATTACAAAATTTGACATAAGACTTCAGAATGCCACGTCAGCCATCATCAATTGTAATTTAACTCTTATAATTTAACATTTATTTTAAAAATGGTCTTAAAGCTTCGATTTTAAGCTTCCTATGCTTCTTGCACATGGTTGTACGTAGAAATTTGTCCATCCACTCTTTGACTTTTGTTCGAGGATTTTACTATATTTTTACAAGTAACATGTTTTCCCGATTATCGCAATGGATTCGCGAGCAAAACTAAAGAACTGATGTGTAGCATCGGGGCTGCTGGATCAAGTTTGGGCTAGCTTAAGAGTGGTCAAGCTTGTTCTCACCCTATGAGAGTGATCAAGATTAGCTTACTCACTCTTAAATTCTTATATATTTTACACCGGTGCATGTTAAAGATTAAAACGCACTTATATACTTTCTGAAAAGCCATTAATTTAGTGGGCAATGATTACTAATTAACTTAACGAGTCAAAAGACTGTTAGTTGAATTACCTAACTTCCACTATATTTGTCAATTAGACTAAACGTGTTACATGCATGAAACATACGTGATAGTTCGATGGTTGTCGGGCGCTACTATTCACGTAAACCTAGTTATATTTACAGTATTAATCAGTTTGTACAGGCATAAACTTGGAAAATGAAGGTTTAAAGTTTGACAAAACCAACCTAAAATCTACTATTTCATAAGTGATTAAGGTTTGGATTAAGGGCTATGTTGACGGTCAGTGGCGGATCCAGGATTTTAAGATCGGAGGGTTCCAAGGTAAAAGTTCAAAAAAATATATTAGACTAATTTGGTTTCATAGCACTATTTTTTATTGAATTTGGTTCATTGAATAATCAAAATTAATCAACCACATCAAGTGGCCAAGTGGTAAGAATGCGGATTTCGGCTCTTAAAATACAAAAAACAGGCAGGTTCCGGGTTCGAGGCTCCAAGCTAGTGAGTCTGCTTGACTGTGGCCATGAGAAAGTTGAAATGCCTCTGTGAGTCTTTTAGGCCCCTATAAGGAGTGGATAGCCGTGACTTACCACTAGTTGTCCCGCTTTAAAAAAAAATAATAATAATAATAATAATCAA